CCCAAAGCTCCGCTGGGTCCCCAGTGCGGCACTGTGTGAAGCTGCAGTCTGGATCATGAGGGCTTGCTCTTGTTGATGCATCAGGATTTGAGGGCATCATGGCAGGCCCTGAAGCCTTTAGGAGGTGGGGCCTGTTGAAGAAGCAGGTCATTGGCGCAGCCCTGGAAGAGTGCATCTGGCCCTAGCCCTTCTCTCTCTTTCTCTGCTGCTTCTGGCTGATGTCAGGGGAGCAGCTTTGCTCTCAGCAAGGGCCCAGAGACAGTAGAGCCACAGGCCACAGACCACAGACTGAAACCTATGCAACTGGGCCAAAATTAATCTTCCTCCCTTAAGATGTTTTTCTATCGTATTTGGTCACAGCAATGAAAAGGTGACGAAAGAGGCTGGGCATGGTGGCACACACCCGTATCCCAACACTCAGGAGGCTGAGACAGCAGGATCATCGTGAGTTCGAGACCAGCCTGGGCTACAAAGTGAGCTAAAGGGAAGCTTGAACTGCATAGCAAGACCCTGTCTCAAAAAGACAAAAAAAAAAAAAAAAAAAAAAAAAAAATCACAGGCAAATGAAAAGGATTACATTTTATTGTAGGGTTAATAACAATATATTTTATTGTAGAGTATAAAATATGCATAAAATATTTAAAAACAAAAATATATAAGTTAAACATACAATAATAAAAAGGAAATGGAAACATACTATAAGGTTCTTACTCTATTTTTGAGATACTATAGTATTATTTGAAGGCACATTATGATAAATTAAAATGAATACCATAAACTCTAAAGGAAACACTTTAAAATTACAGAGATGTAGTGATTAAGCTAAAAATGGACATAAAATGGTATACTAAAATACCACTCATAAAAGAAAATATTATTAACAAAAAAAGAAAAGAATGGAAATGGGACAAAGGTGGGACCAATATAAAACAAACAAGATAGATTTCATCCTAATAATGTCAATAATTACATCAAATGGAAATATTCTAAATAGTCAAAATATACGGAATATATTTTAAATGCAAGATGTAACTATAAGCCATCTTTATTATTTTATGTATTTATTTATTTTGTCTTTTTGAGACAGGGTCTTGCTATGCAGTTCAAGCTTCCCTTGAGCTCACTTTGTAGCCCAGGCTGGTCTCAAACTCACAATGATCCTCCTGCCTCAGCCTCCTGAGAGCTAGGATTACAGGCTTGCACCACCACGCCCAGCTTATAAACTTTCTTTAAAATGAACTTCAAATATAAAAACAAAGACTAAAAGTAAGAGGAAAGAAAGAGAAAAATAAATGAATTATAGGAAAAGTTAATACATTGATGAAAACAGACACAACTGAAAAAAATGAATAAAATGAAAAGCTTGTTCTTAAGAGTCAATAAAATTGATAAACTTTTAGTAAGACTGATCAAGAAAAAAGAAAACATAAATCACCAAAGTCAAAAATAAAAGCAGGAATATCATAACAGATTCAACAGTATTTTTACAAGCATTATTAAAAAACATAAGCAACTTTACACCAGTAGGTATGACAACTTAGATTAAGTGAACAAATTCCTTGAATGATACAAACTACCAAGACTGAAATAAGAATAGAAAAATCTGATTTGTCCCACAGCCATTTTAAAAAGTGAATTTCTAATCTAGAAACTTTCCACAAAAACTTCACACCCAGATTTCTTTACTGGTAAATTATAACAAACACTTAAGAAATAAACAATGCCAACCCTACATAAACTATTTCCAAAAGTAGAGGGCAAGACCCTTCCCAATTCATATTCTTTTTGTTGTTTATTTGTTTGTTTGTTTTGAGATAGGGACTCATTATGTAGTTCAGACTGGACTTGAATTCAATATATAACCCAGGGCTGGCCTTGAACTCACAGAGATCCTCCTGTCTCAGCCTCCTGAGTGCTGGGATCATAGGTATGTGCCACCACACCCCGCTCCAACTCATGTTTTTAAACTACAATTTGTCATTTCTGAAAATTATTAAACAGTAACTACTATATCATCACCAGAACTACAATCCTGGTCTGCATTGTGGCTATATTATATATATGTCCTAACATCCTTGGTGACTGGTGATATTGAGCACCACTCCACATAACTGTTGGATATTTCCATGTCTTCTTTGGAGAAATGTCTATTCAAGTCATTAGCCCACTTTAAAAATTGTGTTATTTGGGTTTTTGTTATTAAGGAGTGTTTCGTGCACATTTAGATATTAACTTTATATCAGATACAATTTGAAAATACATATTCCCATTCTATAAACTGCTTTTTGTTGACTGTACCCCTTCACTATCTTGAAAAAAACTTATAATCTTATCTTCTTAAAAAATTCAATGTAACAGTCTAATGAATAGGGAACTGAGGAACCTGGTGGCTAAGTCACACATGTTACAAATCCATCCTCGTCTTTTGATCATTGTAAGCTGCCAACAAGCCAGACAGTTATAACTATGCCCAGTGTTTGAGCTAAAACAACAAATCCAGATTCTCTTTGAAATCTACCTAGCTTGGTAAATTTTAACAAACCTACAATTAGTTCTTGGCATTGTAGCCTCATAATCCATTACTGCACATAGCTCCCAGTTTTCTTCTCATATAAACTGGGAATTTTTTTTTTTTGTCTTTTTGAGACAGGGTCTCACTATGCAGTTCAGGCTGGCCTTGAGTTCCCTTTGTAGCCCAGGCTGGCCTCAAATCCCAATGATCCTCCTAGTGCTGAGATTACAGGCATGAGCCACTGGCAGGTACCATTTTTAACCTGGTGAGTGATCTTGCTCCAGGATCCTAGGAGTGTACACTGTAATTATGCTGCTTGGGCTTGCCAGAGGTACCAGACAGGAGCCTTATATTCCACAAATAAGGCCAACGCAAGCCCACTGGTCCTGCTAGGTGGCAGGGGAAACCATTCCCCAGTCTGGATCTTCAGTACAGCTACCCCTCTTTTTCCCTGGGACACATCCAAAGTTGGTAGTTTCCAAGCTACCCAAAAACTATGTCAAATGGTATTCCCAAGTACGGTACACACTGACTCTGAAGCTGACAGGTACATCAAGTGCTACACCTCCTTGATAAGGATGTACGATGCAGTAATTTGTCCTTACCTTAAAGGTGATATCCTAGCTTTCCCTAGAACACTGCATGCCTAGTAACTTCACCGATGTGATAAGCTCTATAACCTCAGGGCTTATCCTCTGACATGTTCTGTCTTGCCAACACTTGTCGCTTTCTTCTTCACCATGCCCACTTAGTGTGATGTCATCAACTGTATGTGGGATGTCCAGATGACAAAGTCCTCATGGACTAGACCGTAACAGAACAGCAAAATTAAAAGAGCCTTGGATCAAGATAATGTTTATGGTTGTCCTTCCTTTATAAATGTTAACTGCTCATGATCCTCCCTACAGCTGGAAAGAATGTTCCCTATATCAATACTTTCAGTACCATGTCAGAGGTGTATTAAACAGTTCTTAAAAAGCTACCACGCCTGGTATGGCTGCTATATTGGGGACACTGTCTATGTCCACACCACCTGAACATGCCTGGCCTCATCTGTAACTGGGGATACTACTTGGTTAAGTTTGTGCTGGCCCTCTATTATAGGGCCCTTTCAGGTGGACAGAAAGGATAAAATGGGGATCATGAAGCTAGGACAATCTGCAAGTCCATCTAAAATTCAGTATTATTTCTGATTTACTATCCTGGGGGATAACCCTGGGTGGGGAGTTAGTACTTTACTCTTCTTACCATATGGTTCATACTTCACAAGTCAGGGATCAGTATATAAGCTCTGCCAATTGCTAGGTAAAATCAGTTCAAGTACACCCGGAATCAGAGAAGCAACTACAAGGACTTGGGCCAGGATTCCACTTGGCATGATTTCCGCAAACCCTTACTCTAACCAGGGTATTAGTGCCCTGATGCCAGCTAAGATCCCGTATCTAACCTTGATAGTTCTGGATAGTTCCTTTTGCAAAGCAAATTAGCTACTTAATTTAAAGAGTGGCTCTAAGTACCTTTAGGGAAGGGATGGAAAAATAATTTTTGTATATGCTTATGGTGACAAGGTAGGCTCTTTCCTCAAAGAGGCCATGCTTCCTTTTCTAGCAATGGGCTCTGCTCTAACTGGCTCAGATTTTTTTTTTTTTTTTTTTTTGTCTTTATGAGACAGGGTCTCCTTATGCTGCTCAGGCTGACCTTGAGCTCACTTTGTAGCCCACACTGGTTTCAAACTCGAAACGATCCTCCTGCCTCAGCCTCTGGAGTGCTGAGATTAGAAGAGTGCGCCACCACACCCGGCTCTGGCTCAGATTTGAACAGAGTAGGGGATGATGATGTTTTGCTGCAGCAACTGACCTTAGCTTCCCACCACCGGCCTTGATTTCTTTCTGGTTATTCCAATCAGCCAATTTGATGCCCATCTACTATCCTAAAGTGCACCGAGACCCATCGACGGAGGGCCAACTTCCCAGCTGCCACCTGGCCGCCCTTCCTCCCAGGAAGGTGAGGCTGGGCTCTGCCCGCCAGGCCTGGGCCATCTAAGTCCCGAGCACCTGACGCAGGGTCTGATTGGCCCCAGGTCTGGAAGTAAGAAAGACAATGAGGGCAACAGTTTCAAGCAGGGCAGCAACGGCCTCTGCATTCAAGGGCATCTTTACCGACAAGGGGGCCTGGCGGCAACTAGAGGCTTAAGGTACCTGGAGTTCTCGGAATTTTCCCCATTCTTTCACTCACTCACTGACGACGAGTGATGGCTCGGAACCTGCCCTGCGCTCCCACTCTCACCCCCTACACCTGCGCCGCTCACACCCCCGGCCGTCACTAAACCGCTCCGGGCAGGCGCCTGCGCAGGACCCGCCGCCGGCCGGCTCCTCCCCGCCCCACGCCGCCCGCGGAGCCAGCGGAGCTCGCGCCCGCCACGTGACGGCCGCAGGGCACGCAACCCTCACGCCGCTCCTGATTGGCTCACAACATTTCCTCGGTTCCGGGCCTTGGTGCACGCACAGGTCGCTCACAGCGGCTCCGCTGCGAAGGCGGCCGAGGGCGCGCCCCTCCGGGAGAGACGCCATTGGGCTTTGCCACAGGCAGGGCGGGGCGCGAGGGACGCCGAGTCCGCCTGCCGAGCAGCCCCTGGACTGGGCTCGCGGAGAGAGCAGAAAGTCGTTGCGAAGAGCCGAATAGGTGCAGGCCGGCGGAAGCGGGGCCAAGCGCGGCCGGAAGGAGCCGATCCGGCCCGAAGGGAGTTGAGGGCGGCTGGGCGTTAGGCCCCGCGGAGGCCGCGCCATGGCGGCAGAGGGGACAGCTGTGGTCGGAGGCGGGGCTGCCGGAGGCCGCCTGGCCAAGGACGGCTTGGGACAGTCCAAGCTCCCCAACGCGACCCCGAACCGGAGGCGCTCCTCGTCGCTCTCGCGTGACGCTGAACGCCGAGCCTACCAATGGTGCCGGGAGTACCTGGGCGGGGCCTGGCGCCGAGTGCGGCCTGACGAGTTGAGGGTTTGCCCCGTGAGGTGGGAGGTCAAGGGTCAGACCCTCCTGCGCGCGGGTCAGGGTCAGGGCTCACCCTTGGGGTCATCAGGAGTTTGCGTGCTGGTACAGCCCCCGAGTGCCGCAGCCTGGAGCCGAGCTGGGGGCCAGGGTGACGCAGGAGCCAAGCTGGACCTGATGGGAGGCGGGGTCCTCGATGGACAGGCTGGGGGCGGGACTAGTGGTGGGCCAGGGTGGGAGGCGGGGTCCTCGTTGGACAGGCTGGGCGGAGCTAGTGGCGGGCGGGGTCCGCGATGGACAGGCTGGGCGGGGCTAGTGTTGGGCCAGGATGGGAGGCGGGGTCCTCGTTGGACAGGCTGGGCGGGGCTAGTGGTGGGCGGGGCCTCGATGGACAGGGTGGGGCGGGGTCCGTGGTCAGGTCGACCCAAGCTGATTACGCCGGGTGTGGGTCTGCAGCGGAGGCCTCAGCAACCTGCTCTTCCGCTGTTCGCTCCCGGACCACCTGCCCAGCGTTGGCGAGGAACCCCGGGAAGTGCTGCTAAGACTGTATGGGGCCATCCTGCAGGTGAGGGGGGGATGAGAGTGACAACGACTGGTGACTTTAGGACCTATCTCTAAAGTGGGGCAGATAGTCTTGATTGCTTAGTTGAGGGCACTGAGACTCGGGTTAAGTTACTTGCACCCTGTCCTCTTAGAGCCTGTGCTCTGGAGTCTCCAGGCAGTAGGACCCAAAGTTCCAGCTGTAGTGGGTGGAGAAAGCAGACCTTCCTGTGTGCCAGCGCTCATTAGGCTCTGGCCCTTCCTAACTTGGGCCCCTTTGCTATCCATCTTTCTTCAGGGCGTTGAGTCCTTGGTGCTTGAAAGCGTGATGTTTGCCATCCTTGCAGAGCGGTCACTGGGGCCTCATCTCTATGGAGTCTTTCCAGAGGGCCGGCTGGAACAGTACCTCCCAGTATGAGCCCAGCCCTCTCCTTCCTGACCCCTGTCTCCCTCCCCCAATGTCTTCCTTCACATCCCAGGTAGGGAATTTTCCCCAAGACCTTGATCCCCTCCAGTCTATTATCCCTTCCCCCTCCTGCCCCAGCCCCCTCACCACCCTGATAGGCTCCTGGGTGCAGAGCCGGCCACTGAAAACTCAAGAGCTTCGAGAGCCAGTGTTGTCAGCAGCCATTGCCACGAAGATGGCCCAGTTCCATGGCATGGAGATGCCTTTCACAAAGGAGCCCCACTGGCTGTTTGGGACCATGGAGCGGTGAGTCTGGTTTGGAATCTGCATACCGGAACTGAACCATGGCAGTGTCACCCTTCCAGCTGAGTGGATTAGCTTTCTCAACCAAGTCACATAGTGACGGAAAAATAGGTGACATAGTCTGGCCTGAGGTGCAGGTAGGAGAGGGAGTGGGATGGATGGCAGACTGAGTATATCTTACTCTGGGTTTCAGGTACCTAAAGCAGATCCAGGACCTGCCTTCTGCTACCCTCGTACAGATGAACCTGCTCGAGATGTACAGCCTGAAGGATGAGATGGACAACCTCAGGTTGTCGCAGACAGGAAGGCGGGGGGGATGTGAAAGAAGTGGCACCTCTTTTAGGAGCATTGCCCTTTCTATGCTTATGGCTGGGGTAAGGGTCTGGTTTATAAGGGTGATTCTAGTCACTCCTACTAAGGACCCATTCCCCTCTATCACTACAGGAAGTTCCTAGACTCCACCCCATCTCCAGTGGTCTTCTGCCACAATGACATCCAGGAAGGTAGGAAAAGACGTTGAATCTCTCAATCTAAGGTGAAGGGACCAGAAAGCTATGAAGTGACCAGAACCCCACTTTGTTTCCCCAGGGAACATCTTATTGCTCTCAGAGCCAGAAAATGCTGACAGCCTGATGCTGGTTGATTTCGAGTATAGTAGTTACAACTACAGGTGAAGGGAGAGGGTAGCCTTGTGTGAACCTGTTCCCACAGGGCCCTGGAAAAACAGATGAGACCTTCATATCTCCATCCCAGCTGCTCAGGGTATTTGGGGACTGAACATCTACCTTATTTCCCCAGGGGCTTTGACATCGGGAACCATTTTTGTGAGTGGGTTTATGATTATACTCATGAGGAATGGCCTTTCTACAAAGCACAACCCACAGACTACCCCACTCGGGAACAGCAGGTATGCCAGCTGGGAGCCAAGAAGCAGGACTCCCTCCTGTGAGGGAGAATGGAGGTCAAGTCTGGAAAGAATGGCCAGGAAGGATATTAACTGGGAAATGTGCCACCCAATTTCTGACCCTTGTTATTGATTTCAGCTCCATTTTATTCGACATTACCTAGCAGAGGTAAAGAAAGGTGAGACTCTTCCCCAAGAGGAGCAGAAAAAACTGGAAGAAGATTTGCTGGTAGAGGCCAATCGGTGAGGAAGAAGGAAGAGGTTGAGGATAAGGCAGGGCATAGAAGGGCTTAACATAAGATGCCAGTGCAGAGTGGGGCAAAGACGGAAGATGAAGTCCAAGGCTGGGAGGAGGAAGAGTTTGAGAGTTGGAAGAATCAACAAGGTAGATTCTTCCAGGAGCGGCTAGAATTTGGGAACTGACTAGCCTGGGGAGGAAATCCAGGTAACAACAGATGTGATCTTGAAAGCCCCTACTTTTCCTGCCCACTACTCCCAGGTATGCTTTGGCATCCCATTTCTTCTGGGGTCTGTGGTCCATCCTCCAGGCATCCATGTCCACCATAGAATTTGGCTACTTGGTAAGTAGCCCAAAAGTTGGGCATGTTAGATGTGGGCTGAGGAGCAGCAAGAGCTACATATCCTACAGGAAATCTGGGCACCCAAGGTGGGTGTAACACACTGGTCCCAAGCCTTCTCATCACTTTATGGGGTGGGCTTCCTTCTCTAGGAGTATGCCCAGGCTCGGTTCCAGTTCTACTTCCAGCAGAAGAGGCAGCTGACCAGCTTCCAGTCATCCTCTTGACTTTCCAACCCTCAGTCCTTGGATTTCTCCTAGAGCCTCCAGGGCAGGACCTTGGAGGGGGAATCATAGAGCAATAAGCGAATAAGCATGGGGGACTGGGCCTGTCTCTGAGTGAGACAGTGGTTGAGGAGACCGACCTTTCCCCCAGTTTGAGCAGGTCTTGCAGTGAGCAGGCAGATGGGAGCCCCTTGCCCGCACACCGTAATAAATGAGCTTGTTCCTTCACACCGTGTCTTGGTGCTGCTCAAAAGTGGCAGAAATATCAGATCAAGGATCCACACAGATGAAGTGAGAACTCTGCTCAACTCTCCACTGAGATCCTCTGCCAGAAGCCCTCTCCCCTGTCTCCAGCTTCATTACGATCTAACCTACACGCACACCTGTAATCCCAGCACTTGGGAGGCTGAGGCAGGAGGATCGCTGCGAGTTCGAGACCAGCCTGGGCTACAAAGTGAGCTCAAGGCCAGCCTGAACTGCATAGCTGAACTCAAAAAGACCAAAAAAAAAACAAAACAAAACAAAAAAAAACGATCTAACTTAGTAGAACTTGGGGTGGGGGTGGGGAGTGGTGTGGATTGCAAAGAGGGTCCTGGCGCTGACAGCCCTGACCACAGTTAGGGAACAAGCTGCACAGCTGACATACCGGTGACCTTTTCCCTACATTCGGCTATTTTTAGCTCTAATGCCACCATCCTCACGTGAGATCCTCTGAGAGTCCCCAGGCTCCCAGACCTTCTAGCACCCTTCAGCTGTGAGAACTCTGCCCACCCCTCCATTCCCACCGCGGAGGGGAGAGGGTTCGTGTTCCCGCCCCGCATTTGCTTTTTCAGCCCCAATTTGGCGGTGAGTGTCAGGTTGCCAGTGAGGGTGGGGCTGGGGTGGCCAGTCCTGAAGGACGTGGGCTCTCCGGCCGCAGTGGCCTGAGCATACACTGACAGGAGCGAGCTTGAGCTGTGAGTAGGGTCCGGAGGGTCTGCACCTCCTGGCTGAGCCCTCGCCCCGTCCAGCCTCCCAACCTAGCACAAAAGGACCACCGACCTGGGGTCCCACACCGTGGGCCTGGTGACGCCCAAATCCCCCTATACCCAGGCCTACTCGTTTCCCGGGGTGCCTCTCCCCTACCCGGAGGCTGCCCTTTGCGGCCCTTGGGGCTCTTGGCTTTCAAGACCCAGACCCCCTAGGAACCCCTTCCCCATTGTGGCGCGGGCAGACGCCAGCGCGAGGGTTCGGCGGCGGTTGGCGGGTGGCGAGGCTAGGCCCGCCCCGGGTGGGTGCGGCGCGCGATGGGGGCGCAGGATGGCCACTAGTGAGGCGTGGGGACCGGGTGGGCAAGGGCCGGGCGGG